CTGACCACCTTATCCATCTCCTGAGAAATTTATACCTGGGACAGGAAGCAACAGTTAGAACTGGATATGGAACAACTGATTGGTTCAAAATTGGGAAAGGAGTACAACAAGGTTTTATATTGTCGCCCTGGTTATTTAACTTATATGCAGAATACATCATGCGAAAGGGTGGACTGGACGAACCTCAAGCTGGAATTAAGATTGCCAGAAGAAATATCAACAACCTCGGATATGTAGATGATACCACTCTGATGGCAGAAAGTGAGGAAGAATTAAAGAACCTCTTAATGAGGGTGAAAGAGGAAGGCAAAAAAAAAAATGGTTTGAAGCTCAACTTAATTAAAAAAGATCATGGCCACTGGTCCCATCACCTCCTGGCAAATAGAAGGGGAAGATATGGAGGCAGTGACAGATTTTACTTTCTTGGGCTCCATGATCACTGCAGATGACGAAATTCATAGCAGCCATGAAATTAAAAGACGCCTGTTTCCTGGGAGGAAAGTGATGATAAACCTCAACAGCATCTTAAAAAGCAGAGACATCACCTTGCCAACAAAGGTCCGCATAGTCAAAGCTATGGTTTTTCCAGTAGCAACGTATGGAAGTGAGAGCTGGACCATAAAGAAAGCTGACTGCTGAAGAATTGATGCTTTTGAATTGTGGTGCTGGAGGAGACTCTTGAGAGTCCCCTGGACTGCAAGGAGAACAGACCTATCCATTCTAAAGGAAATCATCCCTGAGTGCTCACTGGAAGGACAGATCCTGAAGCTGAGGCTCCAATACTTTGGCCATCTCATGAAAAGAAAAGACTCCCTGGAAAAGACCCTAACATTGGGAAAGTATGAAGGCAAGAGGAGAAGGGGACAATGGAGGACGAGGTGGTTGGACAGTGTCATCAAAGCTAGCAACATGAATTTGACCCAATTCTGGGAGGCAGTGGAAGACAGGAGGGCCTGGTGTGCTCTGGTCCATGGGGTCACGAAGAGTCGGACATGACTTAACGACTAAACAACAATAATTGCCACTTTCCTCTTTTTTTCACTTGCTATATTTATGATGTGTAGAACCCTATGAATTGCATCTGACATTTGCCTGTCTGGGATAAAACTATATTGATACAGGTGAATATAATTTGTGATGAAATTATTTAGTCTTTGTGCTAAAATAGAGGAGAAATTTTCTTTTTGTCTTGGTCTATTTGCAGAGGGGAGTGTGATAGCGTTTTCGGGTTATGGAGTAGCTATTATTCTTGCTACTTTCCAGGATTCTGGTACCTTTTCACCAATCAGTATTGAATTACGTAGTTTAAAAAGATGCACACATACGTCTTCTACCCACATTTTATAAAAATCTGCTGTGAAATCATTACATCCTGGTGATTTTGCTTTTTTTTCAAAATATTTTAATAGCTGATTTTATTTCTTCAAGTTGATTTTTATACTCCTAAAAATTGGGTTAATTGATAATAAATTTGCACATGTTTTAAGCTTTGTCTCTGGTGCTATTTCTGTTTTGTACAAGTCCTTATAATATTCCATAAAAGTTGTTGAAATTTGCTGCTGTGCAGTTATAATTCTTCCTTCTTTAATTTTAACATTTGCCCTTTTAATCTTTGCTTTTTATAGCTTCGGATAACATTCTAGAGTTTTTATCTCCATATTCATAATAATTCCTCTTCAAACAGCTCAGAGCCATTTGAGTTCTATTCATGTCCAATGCTTCGTAGTCTTGTGTAGAGGCATAGGAGGTGGACAGTGAAGAAAGCTGACAGGAAAAATATGATTCATTTGAATTGTGGTATTGGAGGGGACTTTTGTGGATATGGTGGACTGTGAAAGCAAACAAACAAATGGGCCCCAAATCAAATCAAGCCTGAACTTTCTGTGGAGGAGAGGATAACTAAGCTGAGGATATCAGACTTTGTGCAT